TAGTAGTTGTAATAGAACACCCATAGAGAGTTATTGCTGTTGTTGCTGCTGTTCTTATTAGTGCTCACGGGGATTCAACATTCATTTGTCGATTGAAATAAGCGCATTGTTGAGAGCTTACATACGCTCTACATATTCATCTGCTTTTTTATGCGTGCAAGCCACATATGAATGAATTATCATAGACATCTTTCTTTTGCTTCTATCCAATCAAAGTACACTACATTGGATCATCAAGAAATTAATCCTCATGTCAATAGATATATCAGTAAAAAAAAGGACACGAGAGCAGCAAGCATTAATGATGTAATAATTTTTTTTCTTATATTTCTAACTTTTTTTTTGTAAGTTAGGATTTTTCTTTTTGTTTTACTGCGTTGCACTCGCGTGAAACAAAAAAACGAGTAGACTTCCATAAACACAAACAGAAGAAAAAAAAAGAAAAACCTGGTGAGCATACAAGATAAACGTCGTTCATCTATTTAAATCACACACACAAACAAACATTGAATATACAACAAAAAAACCAGAACAAAAACTGATTCTTCTTCTCTTCTTTTTTTTTATTCCCACAACTCGCATAATTCTATCAGCGTGTATGTGTGTGTCTATACGAGAAGAAAGGAATTGAGTATATATATATATATATAGATATGTATATATATATATAAGAAGAACAGAGGAGAAAAACAAAAGAGAAAAAAAAACCAACATAAGCAAGAAGAAGATTATGAGAAACTATACAAAATAAAGAAGCATCACATCGAATACTGACTACAATAGTACACAAGAACACTGTGTGTATGTATGTAGGTAAGAAAAAGAAAAAAAGGAGAATTTTGAGAACGAAAAAGAACAAAAAAAAAAGAAAAAAAAACAGTTGAAATAACAAACAATGATACAGAACTATTGAACTGTACTCGTTATGACAATTAACAAATAAATTTGTTCAATTTTATTTTGAACAACACAACGATAAGTATCCGGCGCACGTTTTTGTAGAATTTCAGATGCAAATTGACATGGTGGAAATATATGTACAACATAAGCTGGTTGTGACGCACCGGGCAATAAAACATTGACAATTCCGGCTGCTTTTTTTTCATCGAAATATCTAATAACACCATTCTTTAAATTATTTTGTTGTGTACGAATTTCATCTGGCGTTGAACCATTTGGTTCAGCTATTAATATACAATGATCATTATCCATTTGCATACGTTTTTGTACACCTTCAAGTTGTGCTTGTTCTAAACGCATACGTTGAGATATACGTAAATTATGATGTGAAGATGTCTGTAGATTTGACGATGCATTCGATAATGAATCGGAATTCCAATAATTCATTGATGCACGTGCTATTTGTGGACTTCCAGCAACAAGTTGAGTTTTAACATATGCTTGATCATTTTTTAATATTAAATTTCCTTGCCATTGAACATTATATGGATCACGTGATAGTTCATTTGTTGGAGGATTAAAACGTAAATATGATTCTGGATTTGAATATAATTCTGCGGCAAATGGATGATGACTACCTGTTATACTCATTACGTTTAACATTTGTTGAGCTGCAGCAGCATAAGCAATATTCTGTGGTTGATAAAGACCTGGTGGTGTACCGTAAAGTTCAGATGGATCAGAATAAACATTACGAAATGGTGCAACAGGATCTTAAAAATAATTAAACAATTAGAATTAAAAATCAAAGTATATACAATAGAACAAACCTGGTCCAAGAAATTGTTGTAATGGTGATGCTTGTCGTATAGCAGCTGCAGTAGTAGCATCCAATGAACCTAATAAAGGTGATGACTGTCGTTGATTGATCATAGTATTTGTTGTTCCACTAGATGATGATGTGGATGTGGATGATGATGATGATGATGATGATGGAATAGTCAATGCTATTGGTACAGGTACTGTTTGTTGAATAGGTGTTGAACGATTTGATGATGACGATGATGTACCTAAACCTTTTGTCACAGAATCTCTGAAAATAAAAATAAAAATAAATAATAGATTTGTGTCAAATGAAAAAATAAAAATCGTACCGTCTTGATCCTTTTTCATGAGTATTTTGATTTGAATGTGCTGATGATGATGATAGATTTTGTTGTCCAGCCATAATTGTATTGAGAAATGGATTATTAACAATATGACTAGTTGCATTTGAACTACTATTACTTATTGATGATGTTCGTGTTGCTAATGGTGGAGAACTTGATACAAGTGATGAAGCTAGTAGATTTGTTGGTGAACTTCCCGTTGGATTAACTGGATTTGTTCCCAATTGACCAAATATTGAAAATGGAAAATTTGGATGATGAGCAGCAGCTGCAGCAGCAACAAATAAATTACCATCTGCTGAAAGCATATGTTGAAATGGATGCAATATTGGTGATGGTACAGTCGGTGGTGGATCGGCTTTCGGTGTTGATGAACGTTTATGATTTGTTGAAGCTTTTTGTGAAGTCGGTCGAACAACAGCAGGTACGACAGGAGTCGATGATGCTGTTGCTGTTGTTGATAAAACATTTGTTGTTGTTGTTGTTGTTGTCGCTGTCATCGGTGATGTTTTTAATGGTGATGTCGAACGACGATGTGAATCAAATAGATTTAATGTTTCACTAGCTGCTGCTGTTGTAGTTGTTGCAGTTGTAACTGTTGTTGATGATGTTAAACAAGGTGTTTTCATGACATCACGTAATACAGTTGGTATCGATGTTGATTTAGTAGTATTAGTTGATATCGATGATGATGGATTTGTATCAACAATAGATGTTGTAGGTTCAGTTACTATTGCTGTTGTTGTTGATACGCCTTTAGCAACATCATCAATAACTGATTCAATATGTGATCGTGTTGTTGTTGCTGTTGTTGTTGTCGATAACGATGACGGTGATGATGTTGTTACCGTTGATTTATCACCATTAAGATTCGCTGATGAAACAATATTTGATACCATTGTTATCAGATCATTTTGTTGTGTTGAAGGTGTTGCAACACTTGTCGTAGTTGTTGTTGATGTCATTGCTGCAGCTGTTGTTGTCGTTGTTGTTGTTGTTGTTGCAGATTGACGAGATTGTTGATCTGTAGGACTTGGTAACGATGTGACAAATGAATAAACTGGTTTACTAATTGTTGGTGTTACACGTGCTGTACCCTTCATTGGTGGATGATCACCAGCTATATTTGGAGGATTATTATTTAGCATAAGTAGACTATTTACTGCACTTAATGTTTCTTCATCTAAAAAGAAAAAAAATGAATTTAATAAATGTATACGATTTAAATTAAACATACTAAATGTTGTTGATGGTATTGATGATTTAATTGAAACATGTGGTGGTATTATAGACGTTGTTGGTGTTGCAGTTGTTGGCGTTACTGTCGTTGTTGTTGTTGTTATTGTTGTTATAGGTGTTGATTGATGTTCAACAATAGGTAAAGTTTCTTTTGATATAGGTGCGATAATTGTAGGTGATTTTTCTACACTAGATGTTTTTGGTATTGTTTGTTGAGGTATTTGAATAGATGAACATAATGCCTTAATAGCATTTTCAGTTTCAGCACTTGTTGTTGATGGTAAATGTGTTGATGTTATTATGGAAGTTGATGGTGGAATTTGATCAACTTCCATTGACGTTACTTGTGGTTGATCAATAACTGGCTGTGATAGTTGTGGTGGTGGTAGTAGTGGTGATGACGGTTGTGGTTGCAGTTGTGGAGCCGGTTGTGGTTGCGGCTGCGATTGTGGTTGCGGCTGCAATTGTGGTGGCGGCGTTAGCGGAGTTGCTTGTTTATTTACTTCAGATGGTAATATTGGTTCCATAACTTCTTCTTTAATTTTTGTATTCGTCCATTGTGAAACAACTTCAACGGGTTCAAGTTTAATTTGTGGTTGTACTGTTGGTTCATCTGTACTTTTGCGTAAACGTTTTGGTTCTTTCTCAATAGCTGGAGATGATGTCGTCGCAGATTCTGTTGTAGAAAGACGTTTCGCAGTTAATGATGTCGTCGAAGATTCTGCTGTAGAAAGACGTTTCGCAATTGATGATGTCGTCGAAGATTCTGCTGTAGAAAGACGTTTTGTAGTTGATAATGTCGTCGAACACTCTGCTGTAGAAAGACGTTTTGTAGTTGATAATGGCGTCGCAGATTCTGCTGTAGAAAGACGTTTTGCAGTTGTTGATATTGTAGATGTTTGTTCTGTAGATGGTAATACAGGAGCATCTGGTTTTTGTACAGTTGGTACAGATTCTTTTTCCGTTGATACTACCGGCGGTTGAACTGCTTTCGTATTCGTTTTTGATTGTTGACGTTTATTCGTTAAAGTTTCTTGTTTTGTTGTTCTTTTACCTTTACCAGTTGTTTTATTTGCTGAACGTGATGGAGCAGATTTTGGTTCTTCACGTCGACTACTACCGCCAATTAAATCACTCAATTGCATTGTTTCAGGATTAAGTGTTTCATCATCACTTAATGGTGGTTGTGCTGTTAGTGTTGGTGGTTTTAATGTATTTGTATTTGATGTGATTTGTTCATTTTTATTAACTGTATTATTATTATTATTATTATGAGCAGGTGTTGATTCATGATCATCATCCATTTCTTCGTCATCATTCTTTGATGTTTCATGACTTGTTGATGTTTCTGTTGATGGTTTACGAAACACTGCTGATGGTGTTGTAGTCGAATGACGATGATGACTAGTAAATACAATACCAAATTTTGTAGGTGTTGTTTGTGAATTTGTTTCAACTGATGATTCAACAATTTTAGACAAATTAGTTGAAGTTTCATTAAGTGGAGATGTAATAACAATTGCAGGTTTGTCAGGTATTGAAATTTCTGATTCTGTTTGAATTGTTGTTGGTGGTGGTGGTGTTGGTGTTGTTCTCCTTAGTGGTGATGATGGTAATGGTTGTTCTTCAATTGTTGATGATGATGTTGTTGTTGTTGTTATTGTTTTAGATTTATCATCATCAACTTTAAGTTTTTTTGTTGATTCATTTGATTCATCTGTTGAAGGACGTTTTTGAGCGGATGTTGTCGTTTTCGTTGGTTTCGATATAGATTTAGTTGAATTCACTATAGGTTTCTTTTTATCTGTTACTTTTGATGTTATCATCTTCTTTTTTATATTCGATGATTCATCATTGTTTTTTGATAACTTCTCTTTTTTTATGGGTTCATTATTTGTTTTTAATATAGGTTTTTTTATTTGCTGTTGTTGTGGTGGTTGTGATTGTGATTGTTGTTGTGGTTGTTGCTGTGTAACTTTCTTTTTACGATTAATCGATTTATTATTATCATCACTTTCTTCAGCATCGAAAACATTATTGTCGAATACAGTTGATTTTTTAGTTTTACTTTTTGATGATGATGATTCTTCTTCTTCTTCTTCTTCAGAATCTGATGAATCACTCATGACATTCTAAAAACAAAAAAAAGAATTATTAAAGAAATAAATTTAAGATAATATTTTTTAAATACATGTCGTCTTGATGTCATATTAGTTGGTCGACTAGATATTGGATGATCATCATCTTCATCCTTTTCATTATCATCATCATCATCATCTTCATTACTGTTTTCATCCGATAAGAAATCTTCACTTGTAGACATTGAACTATATAACAAAATTTTAATGTATATATATATAGAACTGTTAAAACTAGATGAAAAATAAAAATGTCATACCTATTTCGAGTTTGTTCACTTCTTGCTCGTTTTTTGATTCTATCATACATACTAGTATCTTGTCTTAAATCTCTCCAATTCATACGCGATGATGTTGATTTTAATTTATTTTTATTCGTAGTTTTAGTTCGTTTTTTAATCGAATCTTTTTTAGATTTTTCATCATTATCACTCGATGCTTGATCATGATCGGAAGCAGTTGTTGTATGTTCAGTTTTTTTCTCATCATCTTCCGATGAAGATGAATGTGTTTCAGTTGTTGAAAGTTTTCTTACTGTACTTGGTGTTTTAGTTTTAGTAGGTTTAGTCAATTGAGGTTTTTTCGTTGTAGGAAGTGGTTTTTGTTGATGTTGATGTTGTTGTTTACGTTTTGTTATTTCATTATTTAATAACGATTTTTTCGTTTTTTGTACATCTGTTGTTGTTGATTTCTTTTCTGAATCACTATCACTTTGTATAACGTTTGTTCGTCTTATTTTAATAGATTTATTAATCGATTTTCCACTCATTTCAACGGATGGTTTTATATTTTTTGGATCGATACGTTCCAGAGTTAATTGTGGAACTTTTGAACCAAGCGATGTCATTTGTGATTGTTTTGTAGTAGTAGTAGTAGTAGTAGTGGTAGTAGTAGTAGCAGTAACAGTAGCAGTAGTTTTAATCACTTTCGGTGGTTGTTTTACTGGTTCAGTTACAGTAGGCTTTGGTGTTGCCGATGGTTTTTTTGGTATTTTATCTAATGTAGGTTTTTTCGGAGTAACGGTTTCATTAGATAATGTTTGTTTAGTTGGTGGTGCACGCCATGTAGATTTTTTTTCATCTGTTGCTGCAGCTGCGGTTGCCGCTGCTGCTGCCGCTGCAGCTTGACGTTCATCAATATCATTTGTAAATACACTACTATCTTGTTGATTAAGAGATTTTTTCTTTTCTGTTGGTACTGTTGGTGTTGTTGGTGGCGTACGTTTAGTTACTGAATCCGTTGATGCTGAACGATTAGTTGTCGTTGATGTTACTTGTAATGGTGCACGTATTTCATTTGATGCTAATGGTGAAACATAATTTGTTGATGATTTTCGTTCATTTGTTGGTGATAATGCTGATGCAGATGATGGATTAGATAATGAACGTTGCTTTAATATAGATTTTAAACCAACTGATGACGATGTCGATAGTTGATGTTGAAGTGCAGGTGAAGAAACTGTTACTGGTGAATTTGTTCCAGTATTTGTAGGCGTAGTCGATTCTGGTGATGGTAATATAGGTGAATCTTTATTATTTGTAGGCGTTGTCGGAGTTGTTATAACAGCTAATGGTGGTGGAATTGGTTTACGTTTAAATTTTGCTGACGGACCAAGACGTTCAAGAATTTTAGCTGATGACGTACTTGGAGAACTAGGTATTGAATCCGAAAACGACGATTGAGATGAAATATTAGATACTGGTGGACTTAAAAGATTTGTCGGTGTTGAACGATTTGGTAAAGATGGTGACGAACATTTCAAAGTTGAAATAAGATTATTATTATTATTATTATTAGACGAATTATTAAGTGTTGGAGTAGGCGTTATTGGAGAATTTAGATTAAGTGACGGTGAAATAAGTGATGCTGGTACTGGTGGTGGCGGTGGATGTAATGTAGTAGCAAAAGACCTAAAAATAATTTTGAAATTAGATATGATTAAAAATATAAAAAGATAAAAATTTATTATGAAATTTTACATTGGACTATATTTTCCTGCTGCAGCTGCTGCTATTTGTGTTTGAGCAATTGCAGCATGAAATGTCAATATTGAATTTGATGATGCATCAGATAAACGTGGTAAATTTGGAAATGGTGGTGGAGGAGGTGGTGGTGGTGGTGCTAATACTGATGGTATATGAATAGGTGATGGAGCTGTTGTTGACAACGGTCGATTTAAATTTAATGATGGTACAGATGTAACTGGAAAATGAAATGGTGAACTCGTTGATATCGTTGGTGTTGTTTTCGATGGTGATATTGATTGAGTTGGTTGAGCATTTAATGCAGCAGCACGTGCAGCTTGAATACATTGAGCAAGTGTTTGTGATGATGATGATGTTGCTGAAAGTGTTGACACAAGTTCAGTCACACTTTTAACTGCAGTATTCGTATTTATTGTTGTTGCTGCTGTCATAATTGGTACTGTTGTTATCGGTGCTACTGCTGCTGCTGCTGCTGCTGATGATGATGATGCTGTTATTATTTTTTGATTTTGTTGTTCAATAAGTGTTGCTGGTGATAATGATGAACTTGATGATGATGACGAAGACGATGTAGTAGATTTTTGTTGTCCATGATTCATTTCATACATTTGTTTATCTAATAATCGTATACGTTCATCAAGTGGTATTCGTGTTGTTGATAACTCATCATCATTATTATTCGTAGTAGAAGTAATAGTAGTAGTAGTAGTCGAAGTCGAAATAGTCGTATTAGTGATATTCGAAAGATTTGTATCAAGCGATGTTTCATGTTTTGTTGCATTTATTGTTGATGATGGATTATTTAAGCCAAGTGACGAATGTTTTAAATGTGCTTTTGGATTAAGTACAACAAGAACATTTGATGATGTTGTAGAAGTTTTAATATGTTCAAATGCAAATTGTGGAAATGGTAAACGTATTAAATCAACATGATCATTAAATAATGATGGATAACTTTTTAAACGTACATCTAATTGATCATATGATGAATTTGAATCAAGTGGAATTATTTTTGTATCTCTTGCTGATAAATGATATTTTGTTGGTGGAATACGACGATGAACTATATGAGTTTCTACATCATCTTTTGTTAATGATGGTGTTGGCGTTGATACCGGTGGTATTGATGATTGTGATGGTGGTGGTGGTGATAAATGAAGTTCATTTGCTGATGAATTTTCCATTTGATCATCACGTTTATTACCGGTACGAATTGGTTGTAAACGATAAGCTGATGTTAATATCGATTTTTCATTTTTACAATTTTTCATTGATGTCGATGATTTTAAACATGTTGATAATGTGGTATTATTTGTTTGTATAGGTGGTGATGTTTTTGATGTTTGTTCATCGCTAACGTTTTCTAGACTATCATCATCCGGTTTACGTTTTAATAAATGTTCGTCATCATCATTTTGATCTAAACCCATTGAACTATTACTATCATGATGATGATTTTGCATAAGCCAATCAAAAACACGTTCAGTATTTTTTAATGGAGCTTTCGGTGATGATGATGATGAAGGTATAGGTGTTTGTTGTTGTTGTTGTTGTTGTTGTTTTGGTGGTGATGATTCTTTTTTTGTTGATTCAAATGGATCTTCAACAGTCAAACTAGGAAGAATAACCGGATCTAGTTGTAATTGTTGTTGTTGTTGAGGTGGAATGATTGTTGATGAATCATTATCTTTCTCAGATTTAACTGATCGAGAATGATGTGAAGATTTAGTTGAATGTTCTTTATTTGTTGACGATTTTTTTCCTGTAGTTGATGATGTTTTTAAATTAGTAGTCAAATATTTTGAAGGTTTTTTCGATGATTTTTGTGAATGTTTCGTTGTTGAATGTTTTTGATATGAATTCGAACGATTTGTACTCGATGAACTATGAGTAGATGATGATGCTCCTGATCTTGAAGATGATGATGAAGTTGATGATGGTTGATGTCTAGGATGACTACTTCGATGAGGATTACGACCGGATGAGAGATTATTATTTGAAACTAAAAATTTGAAAATTAATTTAAAAATAAATAAAATTTATTTTAACATACGACTATCTTTTGATGAAGTAGATAAACGATGCCGTCTTGTATTCAATGATGAATTAGGCATAGTTCCATTATCAACTGATGGAATGGATATAAGAGAAGTACTTGTTCCTTTTCCATATTCTTTCGAATGTCGACTAGAAAAAATAATAATCAAATAAATAATTTCATTTAAAATAAAATAAAAAGTTTTTTTTTGTACCGATCAGATGAATGTCTTGAATCACTTTTATGTTGTGGTCGATTACTATTATTATATGCATTTGACCATCGATCACTACTATTCGTTCGAGTAGATGAAGTATCAAATGTTTGTATTGTTTCAGGAACAATTTCACGTGTTGTACCATTACGTTTTGATCTAAAATAAATATTTCTTTTATTTATATAACCAAATTATAATATTATTTTTTTCAAACATACACAGATCGAGATTCTCCATGATAAGTTGAATCAGGTGGATAACCAACATAACTACAGAAGAAAAAAAGAAAATAATTCTATTTAAATTTATTTTATTCTTTATATTAACATACTTTTTCTTATGACTAGTTTCTTCAATAATATCCGAAAATCGTGTAACAAATACTTTACTAGCAAAATCAACTTGAATTCTTTTTGAATCAATCTTTTTTCCACGTATAGAATTAATTGCTTCTTGTGCAGCACGTGTATCAAAAAAATATATTAAACACTGTGCTGTTTGACTTTTATGACTATTACGATTATCAATATATATATCAAGTACTTGATCAGCAGCAAGATTTGTTTGACGAATGATAAAATTACGTATTGAAGATTCAGTGACAGTTAAAGGTAATTCATCAAGCCAAAGTACATTTGTTGGTTGACTTTTACCAAATCCCAACTAAAATAAAAATAAAAAATATAAATATGTTTCAATTAATTCTATCTCTAAACTAGTAATTTATTTCCTAACAATAACTCATACTAATATCAATGTCTATTGATCCATGACTACAACAGATGGACATTCACTGAATAATGAATTAATATTCATTGAAGCATACATACATATAAATCACTGAATAGTATAGATCTGATTCAATAGTATTACATTGAACTCATGGACGAGATTTCATTGATTTCTTTTTTTTTCTGGAAATCATACAATTCTAATTACTAACATTTTCGTAGATTCTCATGAAATTAGAAGCCTTTGCAAGGAAAACTAAGCAAACATTATATAATTAAACAAGATTTTAAATAAAATACAATAAATCTTGAAGTATAAACTATTTGTCTCGAAATAAGATTCCATGAATATATATATCTATTCATTTCATTAAACAATATCCATATCTTCAACTAAATAATTGACCATTTCTATCGCTATTTGTATATTCAGTCTTTCTTTTGAGATGAAACATCGTTAAATCAATCCAAAAGATATAAGTATTTTTCTTTCAAGTAACGTTTCTGAAATTATATATATATATATACTTTAATTGAATGATCTCGAGTTGTTTTCGGTTCAAATGCTTTCATTGCTTTGACAACACTTTTAATATCCGCATATTGAACAAACGCAAATGGTAATTGATGTTGTGATTGTGTTTGTCGTTTGATTTCAACTTCCTATATTTAATAAATAAATAAATTTATTTCTTTAATTTTTTCAATTCGAAATAATGATTACATACAATAATATCACCATATGCTGAATATATTTCACGTAATTCATTATAAGATATTTCCGATTGAAGATTACCAATATATAATGTACGTGTTGCTTTTATAGAGTATTCATCAAAATCAGGATCTGTACATATTGATCGTTTCATAATATCACATTCATCTGTTTCTAAAATTAAGAAGAAAAATTTTCATTGAATTATTTTATTTTATTTCGAAATTTTACCATTTGTTATTCCATCATATGGTTCAGCTTTGATTTTAACACCATAAATCGTTTTTGTCGTAGCAAATGTTAATGCTTTATCAACATCTTCCGATTTTCTAAATGTTAATAATGCATAACGTGATTCATGTTCACCATCGATTTTAACTGTTAATAAACGACATGATTTTTTAAATTCAACAAATATCTCCCATAATAATTCACGTAATGAATCTTCTAGAAAAAAACATTTATTTATTTTTTTATTTCAAATCTATTTTTAGAATATACTTGGAGTTTTAGATGGTAAATGATAGATTTTTAAGATTTTTGTTTTACTCATTGAATCATTCAATAACGAATGAGTTTTCGTTGGATTTCGACGACGATTTTTACATGATATACTAAATAACAAAATTATTTATTAGCAATAAAAATACTTCGATAAATCATTATGTACCTATCATCACTCGATCTTTCCGATTCTGATGACGAAGAAGATGAGGATGATGAAGATGAATTATCATGTTTTCGACGTGGTGGTTTTTGTATTGTCGAATGTGAACTATTTGTTGTTCTAATAAAATATTCCAATTGTTTCTTTAGATTTTATTTATTCATTCGTTTATTCTTACTTTGAAACACTAGTTGACGATGTTTTTCTCTTACTGCCTGAAGAATCTGAATCACGTTTGACAGGTACAACTTGATGTCTAATAAAATCAAAAAATATATATATATATATAATCATAATGAATAATCTCATTTATCTTCTTTTTTTATATAAGAAAAAAAAGAAACTGTCAAAAAAGAAACTGTTCTCTTTCTTTCCCTTTTTTTTTCATCAACAGTTATTTTCATTGATTTATTATTCTGTTTTTTCGTTTGTCTTTATATCAAACAAAACAAAACAAAAAACTTCATCATCATCATCATCACTTCATGTATTAACCTTCTTATTCTACAAATATCAATTATTCTCAAATAGACACTATAAGTTAAATAATACATCTACATGTATCCTCACGTATACACACACGAGTTCAAGGCTAATACCATGACTGTTGTGCTGAATAAACTACAAAAGAAAAAAGAACAAGAGAAAAAAGAATGTCGAAGGACACGAAATCCACCTCATTGAAATTTATGTTCAAATCTTGAATAAGTGTTTCGAAAAAAAACGAGAGAAGCAAAAGAAAAATTCCTGATTCAATTGATTTCAATTCATTAGAGATAATGACCCTTAAAAAATCTGCTGCAAGATGAAAATAATCAGATTGAAAAAGAAATAAATAAAACGTTTTTTTTACCGAACATTTTCATCAGGACTACCAAGTGTACGTGATGGACGTTTATCTCGATCTCCATTTATTGTTTTAGTCGGTAATGGATTTGTCACTGTTGTTATATTCGATGTATTCGACGAAGATGAAGATGATGCTTCAATAACTGTCGAAGAAGTCAATAGTGAGGGTTGTTCGGGTAATACAATAGATGAAGAAGACGATGATTGAATCGGTAGTGGAGGAGGTCCTAAAAGTGCTTTAGGCACTGAATTTGAACCATCATGAAATGCTGTTCGTAATCGTTGTTCATCGAGAATATTTTCTGCGTTATGTGCTTTCGATGCGGTACGTACATCCAAAAAAGCGACAAAAGCGAAACGTTGTTCATCGATTTTAACTGATTGAACACGGCCATGTCTAGATATAATCATAATAAAATAAGAAATTTTTTAATTTTCAAAATAATGATTTTGTTTTCTCTGAAAAAATCTCTACCGTTTAAAGCATTCTTTGATTGTATCTTCAGTTGCTGTTTCAGGTAAATTAGCTATGGCCAACCATCTTGATTCTGTTGGTTTTGTAGATAAAGATACTTTGCTAGTCGCAATTTCACTGGGCATGACAAAAATTCATTCGATATACAATAATGAAAATATGTACAAGTTGAAAAACGTTAATCATATACAGACACACACAATAATTTGTCAAACAAGAAACAAAAAATATTTCGAAATTTTTAAGGTCAGAACAATGGCGATATTCTTCGCCGTTGACGTGGGATGACGATGAACATTGTTGTTGTTGCCAGCATCTACATTGAAAAGAAGAACGAACGGGCGAGAGAGAAAAAGAAAAAGAAGAAGAAAAAGAAAAAGGAAAAAAAAACGAGCCACCTTACATTACATTTTCTCTTCTTTATAGCATTCTTTCCCTTCTATTCTCTCGCTTTTTCTTCTCCATGCATTTTGCACGACGGAGAGTACGTTAGTGTGTGTGTATGTGCGCGCGCGCGCGCGCTCTCGCTATTCTAACTATCGTCGTCGACGGCTGTGGCGGTCGGAGCGACGATCGTATGTTGTATTGTCGGGCAATGATGATGATGATGATGATGGTAGTGGTGGGAGAGCACACGTATACACACAGCTTTATATATATATGGTTAAACTAATGATGATACACCACATGGTACAGATACTAATCAATGCCTAGCTCTTTATATCCGCATATGTTGTTATTCTTTATTAATTTTTTCTTTTTAATTTACATCCTTCGAACCAAACATTGAGCTTTTATTAATGCTCAAGTACTTATTTTTCTTTTTCTTTTCTCTTGATTATGAAATGAAGATGTATAACAACATCAATGATAATATCAACAAAAAACCATGAAAATGATAATGGTCTCTAACTGATCATCTGATTATGATAAGGGAACATAGAAGACCAGAGTAATACAGAGAGAAAAGAAAGAGTAGAGAAGAAAAAGGCAGTGAAAAGTATACTACTCCGTCCGCCAGTTAGACGTGGCGGCGTCGACAAAGACGACGACCGTTTTCTATTTTTTCTTTTTCTTCCTGTCATTAACGGGCACAAGAAGCAGCCCGACGTTGTGTATTTCGGGGGTATATGTTGGCTCGTCTCTACGATCACTCGTTCGGTCGTTTGCACGCATACACTATTATTACTAATGGAGTCTTCTTTTCTCTCTGTCTCGCTTATTGCGCAGCGCATTTGTTCCTTTTTATTTTAACCCATTTCGCAGCGTCGTTGTCGAACATTCTCGAATGTAAGATTATATTACAAGCGTATGTGTAGGCAAATAACCAGACGAACGATGAGAGAAAAGAAAAAAAAAATGTTATTTTTTCTCGGTCTTTCTCTTTTTCTCTCTCGATTTCTTTTTTCATTTTCTGTAAATACACCATACAAAGCGGGCACATCATTTGTTTCTCACTCGCTCGCACATATATATTCAAGCATCGACGACGACGACCATCGAGCCTTATGTCTTTTCTTTTGTCTCTCTTCTCTCTTTCTTGTTCGCTTGGTCGTCATCGAGTAATATGAGGTTCATATATACTATCATCGTTCATATAGTTGATGCTGCTACTATACTACTCAACAAACAACGTCATATATCTTTCTATATATCATAATATACGCTTGCATACATTATTCTCGCATTTCGATTTTCCCATCGTTTCAAATCGTCGATCTATGTATACATATATATCTATATTTCTATATATATAGATATATATAATTTGGGCTTGTGTTGTTTTGTAGTCGTCGTGTTTTTTTTGTTTATAATATCGTCATTTCGTTCGTCACAACTACTTCTAATACTACTCCTGTCGTCTTTCATTCCTTGTTTTTAGGCATCAATTGTTTCTCATTGGATTTATGCGTTTCTGTCGATTCTATTAAATTAGTGGGAAAATATCTTGTCTCAGGAGTTTCAACAACGACGAAGTTTTTTGATGTTCTCATCTAATGTTTATATTGCATTTTTAGCATTTTTTTCAGCTTTCGTTTCATATGCAATTATTAGCTTGGAAATCAAGAAATCTGTAATATATATATATATATATACTCAAAAATAGAATGAAAAGGATATAAAGCAAAAAAAAGAATGAATAGAGACATAAAAAAAAGAGAACAAAAAAAACAATGAAAAAGAAATGCACAGTTCTCATTTCTTTTGCTAATGAATAAAAAATTCTATGCAATGCGTAGGTGGAAAACGAGTCTATTTGATTACAGAAATAAATGAAAAAAAAAAAAGAGGAACTAAGGGCAAAAAAGAAGAGGAAGGTTATTTATACTTTTTTTTTGTTCTTTCTTTTTCCATTGATTGTCGGGCGCGAGTGCAAAATGTAAGATAGAGCCCTTTGGCATGATGCCATCAATGCGGATGATGTCTTTTACGACGATATTTTTCTTGCTCTATGCGTCAACCTGTGTCCTTGTAAATGTCTAAGCAATCGCATATACTGTTTTTTTCTTTTTTACTTGTTTATATCTCAGCTAGAAGGCAAAACTATGTATATGCCCAACAGCAACTAGACGCGCTAATGAGACTTTTCTTTTTTGATGATAATAACAATAATAAAATTAATATTAAAAAAAAAGTGACAAATAAAATGGACAAACAATAACAATCTATATGATAGTTTCATAAGAATATGCCTGATTTTATATTTATATATGTATACATATTATTATTATATTTGAAGCTTATTTTTGAATAACGATAGTATCACATTTTTTTGCGTACATACAGATAAAAAGAAAATGGTTATGACAAAAAAAAAGAAAAAGCGACCAAAAACAAAGCATTAAAAAAACAATAAATAAAGAGATTCGTGGCATAAATATAATTATTCGTATCACCAAATATTTAAATAAGAACCCCATGAAGGAGCATTTGCACCATTAGTCATTGGTTGAATTGATGAATCATTACTGTTTAAATTTTCATCATTTATCAAAGGTATATTTGCAGTATGAACGAGTTGAGCTTGTTCATCTGGACTTAATTTGAGCATTGTAACAAGAACAGGTATTAATTGTAAACGTTCCGGTACAGATTTCAGAATAAAAAATTTTAAAATAATATTTTTTAAATATTCTAAATTTGATATTGATTCAGCACGATCCATATTACGTTCAATACGTCTTATTTCATCTTTAAGTAATGTAACTTGTTCATTTAAACGTGTATTATTTAATTCGGATTCATTTAAAAGTTCTGTTGTTTCAAATAAACGTAATTTCAATCGATTTAATTCATCTTCCAAACGTTGACGTTCTAATTCAATATTTTCAGTTGCAACAGGATGTAATTTATTATTTGTTGATGATAAATTAGTTGTATTATGATCTTCTATTAAATTATTACTATCAGATATATTAACAGGAACAACTTGTAATTGATGATCAATATTAGTCATTACGGGTCCCTAAAATAATTCAAAATTTGTTATCGAATAGAATTATTTAAACAAAAAAATTGATTTTTTCATATTTTACATAAAAATAGAAACTAACTGAACTTGAAGTAATCTTTTCGATTATTATAATCTACTGATTGGAAATATATATAAGAATGTTTCTATTAGTATAACTTAGAGAATTCTGTGATGATGAGAATCTTTACTTCTGTTTGTTGACGTTCGGAATCACTCCATGCAAGGATAGAATCTCTCTCGGAATCATGATTTATACCGGTATGTAATGTTTCAGAATTTGATGTTAGTTTTTCATTATCAATATTTGTTTGTTCTAATAAATTAATACGTAGTTTTAACTGTTCAATTTCTTGTCGAGCTGTTTCTAATTGATTTTTTACAAATGATATTGACTGTTCATGATCAGAATCCATTAAAGCAATTTGTTCCTTGAATAAAAAAACGAAATGAATAGATTTTAAATAAAATTTTATCATATTACTTTATATTCTATTGCAAGTGTTTCATTTTGAAGTGTAACAGTTTCTAATTCATTTTGACTATCTTTTATTCGTTGTAAATGTTCATTTTGAATTTTATTTATTTCTATTTGATGCTATAATATAAATAAATATTTAAATATATATATATATAATCAATAGTCTATAATTACTTGTTTACGAAGATCTTGTTCACGTTTTCTTGATTCATTCATTAATTTCGCTTGAATTTCAATAAGATGAGTTTGTTCTTTTTCAATAGTTTCTTTTTCAGAAGTTAATATTTCAATTTTAGTACTAAATTAAAAGATATTCGTTTTGTTCGATAAAGGTTTTTATTTTACTTTGCTTCTAGAAGATTATTTTTTAATTTTTCAATAGTTTCTTCATATTCAATTTGTTTAGTTGCTAACGATGGTGTACGTTCACGTTGATTTGCTTGATGTTGTTTCAGAACACTTTGAGCTCGAATCTAAATAAATATTTACATGTAAATTTGTTTTTCTTTACCAGATCATTAATTTCTATATAATATTCATAGAGTAAGAATATGATAATTTGTTTCTTTTGCTTCAATATTATGCGCGAATAATATGGTTAATCGCGATAGAATTATTCTAATATAATTAACATATGTCGACTAATGTGTCTATTCAAATAATAGATGACAAGTCATTTCGGCTGGAATATAATTATTAAAGTGTGAATAAAAGTGACTTTAAAAAATTATGTATTCATTTAATTATACAAAAGTTTTTCTAAAAAACACGTAACATACAAGATAATTTCCTTCTTTGTTTAGGAATAAGCTAGGCAAAAGATAATTCTTTTCAAATGAATGATAAAGTTATTTTCAATGTGCATCAAACCTGAAACTGGATAAATTTTGTACTAGAAAATAATGAATTTTTAAATATTGAATATGAATTTACTCATTGTTGGGAGCGTTATAGAATTTCTAGAGAATATGTTAAAAAACTATGGAAAGATTTAATTTCTGCCTATAACTCTTAGAAAAGAGTAGTAAGCGAAATCTTTCCACACAAATTTTGATGCGTCTTCACCTGACTTATGAGATGTGCAGATTACTCTCTATCGCTTTTCTTACAATATTTTGCTATTAATTCTTACTTTATAACAATTGAAATCATCTTGAAGTGTATCACTATAAGAGAAATATAAATAAGAAATATATATATTCATTTTACATAAAACTTACTAATCTTTTTTTGTAATATCTAAATCATGTTTAGCAATACGTAAGTTTTGTTCTAATAAATTAATAGTTCGTTGATTTGTTTCATTAAAATTATTTAATTTATCTAAATTTAAATCACAAATTACATTTTTGAAAAACTAAGTCCTTTTGTCTCTTACCAGTTAATTGTTGTTTTTCATTTGATAATTCATTAATTAATAATTTATTATTATCTAATTCATTTTGTAATTTATCCGTTAATACACGTGTATAATCATCACTGTGATATCGTTGTAATTCAACATCTTTTGCAGTTTGTAATTCTTTCTTTGCAGCATCTAAAAGTGTTTTAAATTTATTAGCGCGTTGATCCGTTTGTAATTTTTGTTGTTCTAAATTATTAATTTCAAGCTTAAGACAAGCATATTTTTCTGTACTATTTAATAATTCATCGCGTAAATCTTGTATATCTTTATCTTTATTAATTAAATCATGTTTTAATTGTTGAATTGTTTTTTCATAATCAGCTAATTCAAGATCAATTGAACTTTGTTTGGGTTGATAATTTTTATCTTGTAATTCTTTTTTAAGACGTGTTAATAATAGTTTCATTTTTTGATATTTTTCTTTTAATTCCTATGTAAATAGCAAAAGAATAACAATAATAAGAAGGAGAAAAATAAAAAAACACAAAAATTTACTTGAATATTTTCACCTGGATCAGATATTTGTTTTTCATATTTATGATTTAATTCATTGATTATTCGATTAAGTTTTTCATTTTCTTGTCGAATATTCACTAATTCAGATTGAAGATTATTTATTGTAGTTGACTGATTTTCATCGTTAGTATTCATTGATTGTTGTACTTGAATATTTTCAATATTCTAAATTATCGAAAATGTTTAGTAGAATTAGACATATTCGAGTAATGAATATTATCGAAAAGGACATGAACGTTTTTAATCAAACTCTAAAAATATTTCAATATAACAATCAGTGATTCCACTTTCAGCATCTTAGATATTTTGCTTTTGATTCTTTTATAATATTTCGAGCAGGAAACTGTTTTTGATTGACTAACTAAGTGTAAAAATTAATAACATCTGATTGAAAATTGTACCATTTTACAGAGAAAATCTTTATTGTTTTGAATTGATCAAAATAATACAGTAAAAAACATTTTCAATATTCATTCGAGATTAGCATCAGGTTTTGTAATGAATAATTTATTTATTAAACGAGTTTTATATAATTTCGATAGTACAGATTTCATACATTGGCTCATATTCGCAGGATCTAGTGGGAACTATCAGGGTTCAAGAAAATCTATAGTAGTGAATTTCCGTAACTCAAAATAATTTTGGGTGGGTTGCTGTATTTACATAAAACACTGTTTCCAAATCTCAAAAACCCAGTTTTTCACCGAGTAAATATTAGATAACGAATAGGGCAGGTTTTTTTGTATTCATATTTTATTCGAGATAAAATATATCAGAAGATACAGGATGGAAAGTTTACTATGACATCAATTTTCGCATCACTAAAGTCTGATAATTAAAGTTTTATCTAATTTTGAAAATAAAAAAACCTGTCTCCATACGTCATCTGATATTTACTGAATGACAAAATTTTGTTTTGAAGGACAACCATAGTAAACAAATCACAAACTACATGGACCAATAGAGTAGTCGATACTCGCTCCAACTATATCAAAATAAGAAATTTTCCATGTTTTTTACGTAAATCAAAACTAACGGAATCGACATGGGACTTTAGTTATTTGTGAACGAAGGTAGAAATATAATATTTTTTCTATTAATTTTCATCATAAACTCAAATAATCGTATTGCCTAATTTTTTTTATTTTAACCATTCGAAAATTTGAATAAAGTCAAAATTAAAAACACACTTGTTGTAGTTGAATTGTATCTTGAGTCATTATTTGATTATTTGCATCGACTGTTTTGTCTACATTAAATTTATTTGTTTTTAATTGTTGTTTTAATTCATCAATATTCTATAAGACAAAAAAAAAGAAGAATAATTCGATAAAAAGTAAAAATTTGATTTTACTTGAATAAATTCTAATTTTTCTTTTTCTAAATTTGTTATTTGATCTGTTAACAATTGTATTTGTTTAGTTTTCTCTTGAAATAATTGTTGATTTTGTTTTAAATCATTTTCTAATTGAAGATTTTTTTCAATTAAATTACTAAATTCATCATCTTGTTGTTTTGAACGTAATGAAAAACGTTGTTCTTGATTTTGTGTTGCATTTATTAACAATGATTTTTGTTGTTCAAATTCTTTATGTAATTTTTCCATAATATTTTCTTTAAATTGATCATGTTCGTTTATTTCTAATTGAAGTAAACGAATTTTTTCATCACGTTCTAATATATAAAAATGTTGACGCTCATAATCTATCTTAAGTTTATCAAATAAATCATTTTGTCGTTTAAATTGAAGATCTTTTTCATTGAATTTTTCATTTAATTGTTTCAATTGTTCTTCTAATTGTTGAGCAATTTGAAGTTTTTCTTGAAGTTGATTATAAGAAAGTTCAATATGTTTCAATTGATCAATGTTTGTTTTATCTATTTTAAAAAATGTAAAAAAAAATTGTTTTTGTTTTTTGGCGATGATTTCTTTACAAACCAATATTTTCTTGTTGAAGAATAGTTTCTAATTGAATTGTTTTTTCACATTGTTGAAGAAGTTGTTTTTCTAATTCAATTTGACGATCTTTTAATTGTGTTATTGATTTATTTGAAAGAAGACGTTTTTCAAGTACGGATATTTCATGTCGTTGATCTTCATTTTGTTTAGTTAATTGTTGATATTGTGAACGTAACTGAATAAGATCTTGTTCGATTTTGTCAGATATAAATTTAAAATTATCAAATTCCAATCGAAGATATGGAGAAGCATTCTATGAAACACAAATATGTACATTCAATAGACAGTTCATATAAGAATATTAATCCTAATACTATCAGTCTAGGTCATTTTTGACCTAGTTGGTAATGAATGCAATGATACAATGAAATTTTTCATTGTCTCGCATTTTTTGCAGACATGGCGCGGATGGGTGGGAAGAGTGGGTTAACACACAGCGACGATGACGGATCTAGGCTTCGAAAGGGATGAAGAGCGACTGTTAAAACTAGAAGGTCAATTTTCAGACAGGATGGATGATCAGATAGAAACTCGTTTGTACCGCCCATCTGGAGTCGTATCAACCACAAAACCAGATCTGGTAGTATTAGGATTAATAATATCTTTCCCTCGATTACTTAAGATCATAGGCCTTTATCTATTTTGCCTAAGTGTTTGTTCTTAAAGCTCCGATAGTAGTTATTCTAAATAATGATAACTATTTGAAGTTTAATTATTGAAGTTATTCGATAAGGGTAATATAAACGATAGAGAGTTTAAGATATATCTCCTTGAATTCATGAACTATGATCTATTGTGATAGAAAGTAAATGTCAATTACAAGGCAACACTGCGGGTGAGAAGAGAATGCAATTGACATATATATTGGACTTTCATCTTCTCTTTCATTCTAGGCCTTGACCGAACAAAATGTTTGTCATGACCTATAGAATAAGATTTATTTTCTCATTAGACAATTTAGCATTAGTCAAAAACCATATCTCATATTAGGAATATTGCGATAGATACTCTTTTGTTTTCTGAATTTGCATGCTTGAAGAAAAAACTAAGAAGAAATTTCTTGTACCTGATCTATTGGTTTTTCGATAACAATTTGCCAATCATTCGAATTCATTGTTTGATTCATTCCATTATAAATTTTTTCAAAAAGTGTATCTAATACCACATGATCATGTTTATGAATTAAAATTTTATATTGTTCATTATCATTATTTTGTATAAATGAAACACATTGATTATCATAATCATTAGTTATTAAATCATTATTTTTAAGTAAAATATATTGTAAAACTCTACAACGTTCAATTAATAATGTACATAAACGAAGTACACTTTCAAAATTTAATGGTACAGAAAAATCTTCATCTGTACAATTAGTTATTCCAATTGAATGTAATAATGTTGGAATATCTGATGAAAGTAATAATGATGATGTTGATGATGCTTTTGTTAATTGTTGATTATTATTATCAATTTGTTTGAGAATATAATTCATACATTGACGAATAATCTCATCAGAATTTTCATCAAAGTGTTGATGTGTTATTATGGATGACTGTTGTTGTTGTAGAGATTTATTATCATATTCTATTAAATGACTTTCACGTTGTAATTCAAGAAATTGTTCTTCAAAATCTTCAATTTGTCGACGATAATTATCGATTTCTTTTTCTTGTGCATGTTTATCTTGTTGATATTTTGATGATTTTATTCTTAAATCATCATTTTCTAATTTAATTTCTTCACTTAAAAATTCTAAATCTTCAAGACGTTGTTGTAATTCATCTTTATCTTGTTCAAGTTGATCGAGTGTTTGTTTAAAATTTTCTTGTTTTTGTTCAAATTCATTTTTATAAACTGTTAAAAATTCATTATCAATTGTATCAGGTAAAGATATTGGCAATTGAAATAATTCAATCGTTGTTGAAATAAAATTATATAAAAGTTCGGGATCAGATGAACATTTTTGAGATTCATTTTTTGATGATGATGATTGAACTACTGAAAGTTCATTTTTGAGATTCTTAAGTAAAAACAAAGAATATTAAGAGGAATAGAAATAATATTTACTGTTATTTCATCTGGTAAATTTTGAGATGAAGTTTTTAATGTTTCATTTTGTAATTGAATGTCTTCCAATGATTGACGTGTGAGCTGAACAAAAACAAAAATATAAATAAGAAAAAGACTTATGAATATTGAGATTTACATTAAGTTCCTCTTGAAGTTTTGATTGATTACTTTTATTGAGATCAAATTCTATTATTAATTTAGAATATTTTGATTGTTCATTAGCAATTTGATTACGAAGTTGCTATAAAAGAAAAATATTTTAATAATAAAGTTAGTTTATTTTCATACTTGTTCAGTTTGACTAAAATTTGTATTCGAAGTAGTTAATTCATTTATTTTAGTCTCATGTTTTTTTTTAAGTATACTATAATTTTTCAATAGTTTAATTAAATCTTCTCTAGACATTGATTCAAGCTAAAATAGA